TGCTTCTTATTTTATTTTCTGCCTCGAATCACTGCCCTCTTTCTCTCCTCTTTTGCACATGTGTGGATGACACTTGATGAAAGCAAAACAGCATTCATTACCACACACAGTTCATTTTTCTTTTTTGAGACAGAGACATGCACTGAAGCAATTGGTTCCCACTTCTTGTGTTTAAGCTAGGTGGCCCTGTAGCCAGTGTTTATGAGACATGGTAGGCCAGCTTTTATTGGAAAAGCTTTGTTACTTAGTTGGAATGAAAACTGAAATTTTTACAGATACTAACATTCCCCTACCATATGTCTCTGAAATGAAGCTGTGCAGAGGAAGACTGCTGGTAATATAGCATTGCTTTAGTCTGTAAAGTTTCCTGCTGGGTAAAGAAACCCTTTTTGCACCTGAAAAACATCTATGAAACTCAGATATTCCATGCTTGGGAATTAGCTTCCCAAGAACTCATCTGTGCTATGCTGATAAATATAATTCAATAGCATACTTTGCCTGCTCAGCATTTCTGCCTACATTACCCAAGCACCTATTTTTTGTTAAAAATTATAAATTATCTACCTCTTTCTTATACTAGGAATGGTCTCAGTTTTCCTGCCTTAATAGCTAAAAGGAAGGAAAAATATAAAAGAAAATATACACATTGCTATCTAGACAATACAAATGGTGTTTTCTTCGATCAGCATCTGCTGTAATACAGAAAACCATAATGAAGGGCTCAGGAAGTTTTGTAAAGCTCTCTTTCCAGTTGTACCCACCAGGTCTCAGGAAGAAGCCCAGCCTCATTTGTCTATCTTGATTTTGTAGCAATATTAAATCACAGTTAAAACTCTTCATCCTAGTAACAGAGAGAGAGAAAAGCATTAATGTTTTATTATTTCTTAACCTTTTGACTATCAGAATTTAGTGGAGAAAAGGGAATGAAGGAATTGATCTTTCATCACAAATGGTATCTGATGGCATATTGGGAGTTGACAAGAGGCTTTCATACTGCAGATCTTTTCAGATGTGTCATTCAGCCTTAATGAACCTCTAAAGTGCAACAACTATGGCAGCTTGTTCTCAAGAACTGTAATCCCTCCTCTACTATTAGGAATGCATGCCTGTAAATTGGGATTTATTTTCTTTCCTATTTTTTCTATAGGTATTTGATTTATAGCATATCACTTAAACTGTGTTTAAAATACTTGTAAAGCCTTTGTAAACATACTTTTATTAAATTCCATGGGAGAGCAGAGATCTGATTAAGGTTCACATTAGTCAGGAGAATAAAACAATAAAAAGGATTTTCCTGAAGGAAATGAGGAATTTACATAAATGCAGTTCATGCCATGTGACTTCATCAGGAAAGTTTCATGAGAGAGAACTGCTAATTCCATCAGTAAAGTGGTAGATGTGCTGCAGAATAGTTTCTTTGGATCCATCTGGTCTGTTCATAGATCAGTAAAACTATGAAATAAATGGGAAAAAAAGTAAATGAAAAAGCCAAAAAAATAAACCAAGAGGTTTTAGTTCCCATTGGCATCAGGAAGTATCACCCTTCCCAGGGCCACGTAGCATATTTTGTGTTCCTAAAGCATCTGTGTCATTTCTCATACTGTTCCTGAAAAATATAAGGGGGTGATGAAGGGAAAAAAAGAAGTCATTGCATGTCAGTGCTGGCCAACAGCTGGTCACCCATTTTGCTCAGACATAAAACTGACCCTGGAGACATCAGTAGTCTGGCTTCTACTCTGCTCACCACACTCATTCAGTCAGTTCATTTACTAATGCTTGTGTTGTGCTCTTGGCAAAGGCTTTCAACACAATTTTGTGTTTACACAAAATTCAAAAGATCTCACTAAGTCCTAGCTTTAAATTCCATTAGCCTAATTGCTAGGGGTAAATTGAAAGTTTGTCATGGTGGATATAAATTTCTACACTAATTTATACAAAATATATCTCATCTTGCTGTTTGTTTAGAAATTTTTTTAAACTGTGTTTAAAAAAAAAAAGACTTAGAGGCATCATGGTTAGAAAAATAACCTTACCTGCATAAATCAGCAGACTGCTGACATATGTCTGCAGGCAGCAAAACTTTCCATATATATATATATGATTGCTTGTTTCTTTCTCCTCAACAGCTCAACATAAAGGATGGCAGGAGACCTCACCAGGGGTTGGCCCTGAGTATTTGAGCTGCCATTTATCAACCACATTAGTAAATGATCTGATAGATTTTGTTGGCTTTTAAATAGTGGGTAGGTTACTGAATTTTTAGTCTAAATTCAGTGGGTATTGCATAGTATTTAAGGTAATAATTGGATTTCTTTAATGTGAAATGTAACTAGAAAAACTACAAAGCTAAAAAATTACCTTAGAAGTGTAGATATCTGAAGTAAAGCTTGATTTCCTATCTGTCCTTTGTTGAAGAATGCATAATGATTATGCACTGACTAGCCAGCCTACAGAAGTGGGTGTTAGCAGATAGTTCTCAGGAATCCAGTGTATTCCCATATCTTGCATGCACAAAAATTGAAAGAGCTTTGCCATAATGGCTTATCCATCTTTTAATAAAATACTGAAATTACCATGCTAAACTGCTTGCTCTATGAGTTCTCTAGCAGCAGACTCAGCCACAGCTTGAAGCATTTCCCAGCAATGTGTCAAGTGATCAATCTGTCACAGCACCAATGCTTTCCTCTCTAGGGCAGGTTTTTCATCACATTGGAAACGACAGAGTTGCTGAGCTAATCGAAGACAGTTTACAGTTTGAATTCAGGACCATACCTAAGTGATATCCGCTCCTTCAAAATTCCATTACAGCTGTGTAACACATGCTTAGCTACTTACTTCATTAAAATCTGGTTTTTATATGTTGGTTGTACCAATCCTTCCAGAAATGTCTCATGGATCTTTATTAGCTACATCAGCTTCCTGGGCAATCATTACTTCTTTATTACTTTTTCATTATTTTCTTCTTAACAGAAATTTAGTACTTAGAAGAAGTGAGTAATGGAAAAGAATATTACTGTTGTATGTATGATAAACTAAAAGCATCTATTTTCCTTTAAAAGATGCAGCAGTTATAATACTCTAAGAGATTTATTCCTCTCTGAAAGCTCCAAAACAGGAGATTAAACTTGGCTTGGAAGCACAGTAATTTCTCCTAATTTTTTGGGCTGCCAAATTATAAAAAGAGAGCTTCAGAAATCTTTTTTCCTTATCATAAGCCATTTGTCCAGTAGGGTCAACAGCAGGCCAGGCAAATGGACTAAAGTCTACACCTGTGGGTACATCAGTGTTATTGCAGCAGTAGCCTGGAGTCTAACTGGTCCAAAAACTTTAATGCCACGTAGAAGTTGGAAGACCTGGGACCTGCCAGCAGGGATGAGAACCAAAACTGGAGAGCTGAGACAGAAAGAAGCATCAGTGGTTAACCAAGGGGAGAAAATGTTGACTGTAGAGAAAAGACTAGAAAAGAATAGAGAGTAAGCAAAAATTAGTTCCAGAAACAGGTAAGCCACTTCAGAATTCAGAATTTATTAGCAGTGCTTTCTTCTGAACTGGCAGTATTTAACACTTACCTATGTATGCATCAGGGATTCTTGCAGCAAAGGGGAGTCCTACCAGAGCTGTATCTGCAGTTCATCAAAGGCAAGACCTAGTGCCTGAGAACAGCAGCAGGGAGCCTTCCTAGAACAGTGAGCCAGGAAGGGCACACTCAGCAGTGGTGTTTCTGGTTGGCCAAATACCTTCTCACCAGACTCAGAACCTTCAGCAAAGGAGGAGAGCTCACCAGATACTTAAGGGTCAAACCTCTCAATGTCAAGGGAAATTCTGCTGTTTAAAATTTCCAGATAATATAGAAACTGTAGACAAAGAAATTGTTTAAAAGGCATTCTGACTAGTGGATGGACCTGTAGAAATAAAGGTATGCATGACTGCCAAGGTCTCTTGGAAGAGAAGTACTGATTATCAACAGTACAAATTAAAAGCTCAAAATGTAGGAAAATGCCAGAATTCACATTGGCAATCTAAAGTTGTTTTATGCTTCTTGTGTATGGCTGATATTTTAGTTATATGATCATCCCTTCTATTTTCTGTGGTCTCCAGCATCCCATAGGTCATGACAGATTGTGGTCATTGAAGGGTCATTCAGTTTCCCGTTTCCTGTTTGCAAAATTATGTCCATTGAGATCATAAATCATAGAATGACTTGAGTTGGAAGGGACTTTAAAGGTCATTTAGTTCCAGCCCCCACTGCCATGGGCAGGGACACCTTTCACCTGAACAGGTTGTTCAGAGCCTTATCCAGCGTCACCTTAAATACTTCCAAGGATGAGGCATCCAAAGCTTCTCTGGGCAATCAGTTCTTGTGCTCCTCACAGCAACAAATTTCTTGCTTGTATCTTACCTAAACTTACTCTGTTTCTGTTTCTGTTAAAGAAAGTGAATAAAATCAGCTACCATTATCTAGAACCTTCTGAGCATCTATGACCAGCTATTTACTTCACAAAATCTGTGCAAGTTTTAATGGGTAAAGCAAAAAGCATGCCCCAATATGAAGATCACCTCTTTTCTCAAGTCAACTCCTCTCTTGAATGCATGAGAACAATGAACTTTTCAAAGTCCATTAAAGGTTTAAACATGAAAAAATAATGCATTTTACTTAATGGCATCCTCAAAAACAGATTAATCATTTTGGAAAAAATATCTTTTTTTATTCTGAGGCAGATGTTTGGTATGGAAGATGTCAACCTGAATGGCTTAATCTAGAAGAAATGAACAAAACATAGAAATGGAAGGTCAAACTGACACTGATCTGTAAAGAGCAAATAATTTCTATGAAAGTACATAATCCAGCAGCAAGTTTAGAAGCAGAGCTCCAGCTAACCCAACATTTTGCAGGTGCTGAAAAATAGCACAATTACAGTAGCTATCTGAACCTAATTACTGTCCCTTTGTACTGCTACAAGGAGTCTTAAAGTGCCATTTCAATTTTCTGTTATTGGCAGTGATAAAGTCATACGAGTTGTTCCTGAGAATGAGAGGGAAACGCAGATCCTGAGGGCTGCATTCAACAGGCTTAAGGTGAGTTTGATTATTTTCATCTTCTTTTTCTGAACTTTTTGAAGACTGTAGTGGGTTCACTGACTTGCCTTTCATTTGCCACTTCAAATTGTTTTGTTATTTGGAAAGAAGTCTTTGCCCATTAAATTCCTAATTTACCAATAAAATAGCATAGGTATTAGATTCATCATGCCTGACAAATTTAACAACACTTACTTCCTTAAAGTGATACAAGTGCCATACTTGTAAATTTGCTTTCTTTGCTCTTCCACTTCTTGCTAGCATACATAGTTGTATCATTATCTGCTCAATTGTTATTTAAAACACTGAGTTAGTTCAAGTTGTGAACACACAGAGGAATATGAAAAAGCCTTCAGTTTAAGAATATCTCTGGCAGAATAATTTTCTAGAGGCAGATGATGGACTGTCTAGGACAGGGAGCCAAAATCTTTCTTCCCTGGCCTTTCCCTGCAGATATAAATGAAAATCGGCAGTGCCACTGCAGCAGTGCAGCACAGGAGCTCTCTGCAGCATTGCTGCTTTGCTGGCACAGCTTACAAAGGCAGAGGCAGCATTTCCACAGCAGTCTGGCCCACTGTCCCAGAGCATGGGGACTACCTGTAAGCCAGGTCTATAGTCCTGAATAATGAACTGTACCATGCACATGCACTGCCACCAGGCACTGTGGAAAAGGGATAAGCTTCATTAATAGTCACCAAAACAGCCTAACCCCAGCAGAATCAGGGAAGTAACAACTTGATCAAATCCACAGCATTTGAAGCATGTGCAAAAGCTTTGGGCTGCTCACTGCCTTCAACTCCAGCAAACTATGAGGCAGTCTGTGATGTAATTCTGGGTTTGTTGTTGAAACCTTACATAAATGATTGTGTTCTCAGTGAGGAACAAATGAAAGTGCATATAATTTTCTAGTCCAATAGTCAACATCTGGGATACAAGTAAATCTAGTCTCTGTCTGCATACCAAATAAAACAAAACTAAGGTGTTAGAAGAGCTCTTACATCTTTCCTTCTTTCAATTATGATGAAGTTTTCTTGCTAGTGTTTTTAAAGAAAGACGACTGAGCTACCTTAGGTACCTTAGCCCAGGAGAAGGCTTACTGCTATGAATACTCCAGCAGTCAAGATGTTAACACTATCTTTAAGTAGGAAAGCTGAGGCTGTCTTTTTCACATCTGCATTTCTTAATACTGTATTTGGTTAGTTCCCCATTCAAGATGCTGTACTTTGGAACCCCCATTCTCAAGACATCCAGCCTGTGCATGAAAAATTTCAGTGTTCAACAGAGGCAATGTCATGATGCTATGGATTGCCACACTTTGCACTGTAATGCCCAACTCTCCTAAAGAATATTGTCTCATATTTGTTTCTACACTGTTTATTAAGAACCTGACCTTCATCTGTGAATGTTACTGTAACACCTCAAAAAGGATACTTGTTTTACTCCCAATTAGGAAAAAAACCTAACCATAAACCTGAGCAATACATGTGGGAGCTGGTTTTTACATTAATTTCTCCCTCCTGGATGTTGGAACATAAAGAGGGAGCACATGTGTTTTTTTTCTTTCTCCTCATATTGTAAAGCCTGCAAAGCAAAGGGGTTACTCACCTTCCTGTTACTGTTTCTCATTACAGAGCTCCCTTAGGCTCCCAGAAAGAGATTCCTTCAAATCAAAGTGGGAGCAGTAGAAACTTGAATAAATAATTGCATACTGTAACTCTGAGAGCAGGATAATAAAATTTTGGCAAACTTCAGCAGAATCTGACTAGTTAATTAGAAAATGATTGATTCTGATGAGAAACTAAGCTGAGGAGGTTGAAAGGATGACTCAAAAAATAAAGAGTGTAGCGACACCCAATTTCATGAATGCAGGCTGGGTTTGGCTGCGTGTCAGGTCTTAGGGCTCTTCCATCTGCAGCTGCTTCACTGCCCATCTGCATGGGGTGGAAGAGACACCCAAGTGGATAACAAGTAATAGATATGTTTAACATTAATTTATCATATTTCCACCCTGCAAAATAACCTCAGGTTATTTCCTCATGAAGAAGTGAATCAATAATGACACTCCTCAGAAATGCCCAGTCCTTACAATACCAGCAGAAGTCAGTTGTGGCTGCAAGTCATCAGCCAGCCCCACTGGAGAGCCATGCATTTGGAGCTGTGCAATTTTTAAGTCTCCAATATCAATTCTCCCTGTCCTTCTCCCACACCCAAACTTCCAGAGTTGAAATTCAATGGACAATGGATTTATGTTCTGTTTTTTAAATATGAGCCTTTAAGCACAACGTTGATTATAAGCTCTGGAGAAAATGCAAGACAGCACACAAAAAAAAAATAAAAACCCCAAACCCCTCAGTAGTGCAAAATAAGCTGCAAACAAACCCCAGATTGTTGCCAGAAGACAGCACACAAAAAAAAAAAAAAAAAAAAACCAAAAAAAAAAAAACCCCAAAACCCTCAGTAGTGCAAAATAAGCTGCAAACAAACCCCAGATTGTTGCCATCTTTGCCTGACAAACAACAGAAATATGAGCAGGAGTGTCAACAGAGATGTATGAATTGCTATAATTACAAAGACTGCACTTTGGTTTTTTTATTTTTGAGTCAGAAAACCAGAACTAGTTTAAAGACATATCTCCTTTGAATCTATTTCGGTTTGAACAGTACATTAATACCAACCTGTTACATTACTCACACATTCTGTTCCTCAAGGGGGAAATAAAGATGGAACCAGAATCCTTTTAAGACATTACCGTTTTGTTATGTTACTCAGCCTTGTGCAAAAATTCAGTTTTCAGCCTGAGTTATGATATGGCCTGATAGTATTTACCATTGTCAGTATTATAAGAACAAGAAAAGTCAATAAAAATAAAACTTATATCACTTTTGTTGTTGAATTGAGAAGAATATATGCACTTAGGTTTCAGAGATGTTTCTCTACTCTGGAAAGTCAGTCTATTAGAGATGAGGTATATTTCAGAGGTCCAAAAATTACACTTTCTAGGAATGTCAGGATTAGTTCCCATTAGTCAAACAGGAACTGTAGTGCAAAAGTCATTTGGGGAGCCCAGTTTATCCCTGGTATGATCCATGCACAACATAAATATTTTTAATAAAATCCCAGGACAGTGCAAGCACAGAATAGATCCTGCACAAATGGATTGTATGCCTGTTGCAGGATTTCCTTGCACAGAACAGACCATGTGTGGTAATAAGGCAAAGGGAACATAATCCCTCCTGTCCAAGGCTTCCTCCTTGCTGTGTCTAGTGGAGGGAGGTTTTCTATAGACTTGTGGTGTTCTGTGCTCAATCCAGCCATTTCCTTCTGCCTTTAAATGTACACTTGTAAGGCAGAGTGACTTAGCCTTTTCTTCTGGTGTACATCTCATAATCCAAAGAATTATAAGAAAAACTCCTCTCTGTTCAGTTCAAATGACCTTATCTTTCTGAAGGATTTTATCAGAAAGAAACTTGAAAAAATGATCCTGATGAAACTATTGCAAGGGCAATATATTTTGGTGTCAGGCAGAGAATAAAGCAAATTCAAAGATACCCCTCCTTATTGTCTTCTCATTTGGACAAAGGGAAAAGAATCAAGAAGACAATAAACCAGCATTGGAAAGAACAGCAATGTGTCATTTCACTCATTTTGTTTTATCTGCCAGCTTCTTAATTACTGTCCTTACCACTGATTCTTCCTGAGCAGTCATCCTGAGCAGATTTTGTCATTTACAGTCTGCTCTAACACCAGGGCAGTGGGGAAGGAGGTGGTGAGAGCTTTGCTTTTTGCCATGCTGAAGCCAATGCCATGGAAGTCAGCGAGATCCATCCCTTTTGGGAAAAGCACCAGACACCAAAAGAATACTTTCCTGAGTGTGCATTCACAGGAACCTACACTGAGACATCCTTGAAGGATCACCTGGGAACTGGCTATATGTCTTGATGTATTTGAAGTGTCTTAGAATGTGTCCCCAGTGATTAACTTGGAGAGTGACAGTTGAGCTAAAACATAACCACAAAATTCATATAAGAATTTGAAGAATTTGAGGGTTTTTAGTCCTTATGGAAACCTCTTGATGTCAAACATGGCTGCTCTTCTACCAATACCTGAACTGTAAGGTTAATTCATTTTCTCTTCTACCAATACCTGAAGGTTAATTCATTTTCTCTTCTACCAATACCTAAGGTTAATTCATTTTCACAGAAGGTGTAGTCCCTAAGAACATTTGAAAAGTAGCATCTGGAGCTTCTCAGGAGGAATATTTGCCTCCCTTTTTTAAGGGGAAAAAAAAAAGAGTCATATAATGCTTGGTGTAACAAATCCCTGAATTCTACCCAAATTGTCCATGCTCTGCTATCCCATGAATGCCATTGCCTGTACTGAGTGAATAATGGATAATGAATGTTTCATTCCACACATTTTACTTTTGTTCATGAATTGCCCAGTGGCAAATCACATTAGTCATAATCACTTGCTGAGTAATTTCCACAAATTAGTTTTGGTCTGTAGCTCCATTGCCCACAGTACTTTGTTATTAATCATTATTATAAATTGATTCCTTCATAGGCTGGCTCTGTTAACTTTGAGGTGACAGAATATTGCTTTTTGTCCCTGGTGGGGTGAACATAGTATGTAGATCTGCACTGCCAGTAAAAATAGCCAGCTCTACAGATAAAAATATTTCTGCTGTGAGTTCTGTAAAATTGCCTGAACGTGCATTTATTTAACCAATAAAGTCAGCTACAGTAAAGAATAAATATAGAAGCCTAAATATAATGAATCAGATCAGCTGCATTCCAGCTCAAAGCAGCAGGAGGGGGCTCTGGCCTGGACTACTCTTGTCTCAGCCTGGCTGAGCAGAGTTTCCTGTGCCTCCCTACCAGCCCCTCACTGTAGGACTGCATCTCCCCAGGACAAGTTCTCAGGAAACTCTTGTGCATCATGCACTGCTGGGTATGCAGTTGTTTCTTAGGGCAATATGTGTCTGAGGTCAGGAGAAATTA